GACCGGCCGGTCCAGACCGGCCGGTCATGAAAATCTTCCTAGCCCGGATATGGTCGAACCTACTTTACAAAGTTTACGTACATGATTTCTTGTGGTTTACACTACCGATACTAGGACCCTTTGGCCGTATATGTGGAGGCTGCGCGATTGATGTTCCGGCCTGACGGCTGAGACCATAGGGCCCTGTATTGCTTGAAAACATTTAACCACTAGTACCTTTCCTGCATGGGAAAATAGGGAAAACTGGCTACTCCTGAAAATTCGGAGGCCGGCCCCAACGACAAACGAAACTACTGCCATTGATAAATCTGATCGGCAGCTGTCGTTTCGTTTGTCGTCGGGCCCGGCCTCCGAATTTTCAGGAGTAGCCAGTTTTCCCTATTTTTCCACGCGGGAAAGGTAAATCTTGAATCGGATCGGGTTGATTCAAAAAAAAAAAAAAAGGTCATCTTGAAAAACTGGAAGTCGAACACAGTCAGTGTGCCTGAGGGCATACAGAGAACAGAATGGAAGTTATTATGGAACGGCTGATTTTTTTTTTTTTTTTTTTTTTTTTTGGAAATTGAACACATTCAGTGTGCCTGAGGGCATACAGAGAACAGAATGGAACTGCTTTTTTTTTTTTTTTTTTTTTTTTTTAAGGTGGTGTGGAGGCTTGAGGTATGGACATGGCCCTGAACAGGCAACCGAGGCTATCAGCTCATGCGCAACCCAGGTATTCAGAGGTGGGCATCGAACCAAACTGGCAGACCTTAGTGAACATCCCCCGGCACACTGTGTGCACCATGAGTGAGCCATCAGGTCACCCCATAGAACACCCATACATACCCCACCCCCGGTCTCAGACAGACAGACTACCAGTATGACCAGGACAACAGACAACCAGACAACCAGACAACCAGACAACCAGACAACCAGGGCAATTCCCTGTGACGAGTACATGACAATCCTACGAGTACTGGACACTCTAGAACCCCCTCGTCATGACAATCCTACGAGTACAGGACACTCTAGAACCCCCATACAACAGCCTACACAACCTGATGGACGGTCCCGTCCAAGGGGTACCCGGCCCTAACATGTGAATGCATGGAGGTCCAATCGAAGGGGACCTTCCAAGAGCGGGCACAATTCAAGCTATTAAACCACCGGTACTTGGCCCAGCTATTGGCCGCGGAAAAAAATGGAGTAGAAAGTACTAGAAACGTTTCTAGTCTGATGAATTTGGGCTCTCCTGTAGTGGCCCATACATTTCCTAAAATCGTGGCTTGTTCACAGGCACGACTTCACGAAGTACTGGTGGTTTCAGCCTACTTGCAGCATGTGCCACAAGCACTCCATCTGAGCGCGGCGCAGCCTGCATCTTGCAATGCAGGCGCCCAAACAACTGGCCTCCGAACATTCGCTGTGTGCAAATCGCCGTGCGCCGGTTAACACCCGCCGGTGTCCATGTGCTTTGTTGAAAAAAAAAAAAAAAAAAAAAAAAAAAAAAAAAAAAGCGCTGTGTGTTGAGGAACCTTGGTACTATGGCCTGGAACGAGAACGCTGTGGCCTTGGGGAATCTAGGAGACTGCAAGAGACGGTGACGATTTTTCGGGGGCACTTTGCATCATGGAGCTGCAACGTTATGGCTGCTGATTATTTTGCTGCATGATGCTTTCAGGGTGCATTTTCAACTCCCAGGTGACTACCCACCTACAAGGGGGGTCTATTTTTAACTCTCCGGTAGGTGGCTACCCCCTTTAAGGGGGTCTATTTTCAACTTTGAGGTGAGTGGGGTACTTGCGGGTGACTATCCCCTCCCTACAAGGGGGTGTATTTTCAACTTTCAGGCGGGTGGCTATCCCCTACAAGATGGTCTATTGGCTGGCTACCCCCTACAAGGGGGTCTATTTTCAACTTTCAGGTGGGTGGCTACCCTATGTACGCCCCCCCCCCGCCCCCCGCTATGCTAACCACCCGCCTTGTTCTGGTCTTGGTTGGTGCTTAGTCTTTTTATGTGCATTTCGTGTTGTCCATTAAATTAGGAACACTGCAGAGAAGATTACCATGGCCCCTGCGCAAGGACGACACAAATAAATCGGGAAATGATTTCCCCCCCCACCACAAAAAAAGACAAGTGCAATGCGCCCCCCAAAAGGCTGTTCATTATAATAATAAAATTAAATAAATCGATGTCTTGCGGGTTAAGTTTTCCAGAATGATGTGTTATCTCCGAGACTGATGGCGTGGTGACGAAGGCGAAGTGTGACGGGGGAGTTGTGACGATGATCCTGCTGCTGACAGTTGTATGCCTTGTGTGTGTGTGTCGCTCCCATGTGTCTGATGCACATGGTGGTTTTTGTTGATGTCAGTATGTCCTCTTCTTGGGATTTTTGGTGGTCTCTCCATACCTTCCACCGTACACGAAGACTCAGCCGTCTCGACGGAGGATCGATTAACGATTCACCAATTTCAGGATTTTATCCGTGTCTCTTTTTCCCGCCAGCACGATCTACTTCCAAGTCATATGTTTGAACCCGAGGCCAGCCAGCCCACCGGGATTGTCTTTGCATTGTGGGGAGTCTGCGACAAACAGTCATTGCGGCTGCATGCAGCTGGGAAGCTATTTGCTGCCAGGCGGAAGGAAGGAAAATCAATTGCCCATGGCGCTCTGGCTTCGGCTGAGGCATTTCTTTTGGTGCAGATGATTGAACCTGTCTCTTATACACATCTAGATGTGTATAAGAGACAGGCGGTACACCCTAAGGGGCAAGGGGCAAGGGGCAACATGAAATCTCCCCTTCACAGAGAGAGGAAACTATGCTTGCAGGGGTCCCCTCTAGATAGTCTTAGGAGTAGGTTGTGGAAGGTAAAGAAACAGAGAGAAGAAAACAAAAAAAAAAAAAAAAAAAAAAAAAAAGAAAGAGGGCGGGGGAGTTGAACCCACACCCTCAGACCACAACACTCATTTTCAACCGGCGCAATGATTCCAAATTCTGTCCAAAGAAGTCCCCATGTATGTATGACCTTTTTGGTTTTTATAGGGCGGCAATCTTGAGATATATCCACAGGTGACCGGTCCCACGTGGAAGTCATTGTAGATTTCATGTCATGATTATTCGGTATCGAGCTTCTGTTATGACAGGTATGTTGAGAGTTAAAGTTTCTTGAACTATCAGGGTCTCACCCTGATAAGCTGTGAGTGTCAGCTATGATGATTCTGGCTGAGGATTCAACCTGAGAATTCTTTATATTGGTTGTCCCGACCAACCGCAGCAAGACCAGTGAGCGGCCACTTCCACCTGGCCTGACGCTGCCGCATTGCCGTACGGGTTACAGGGCGGCACAACTCATGCCAGTGAGCTACCGGCATTGACTAGCCCTGGCCATCCTCCTCAGGCCATCGGAAGTGACAGCGACGAGATTACACCTCAGCACCTAAGCGGTGCTGTTCAGGCATGAAGCCTACCCTAAATTCTTCCCTGGTTGAGACTCTTTCATGGATGCATTTGACTGCCATTATGACCAGATTCTGTCCGAAGAACTGCTACTGTGTGTATGCCTCTGAGATACGAAGAAGGGGGAAGCAATACCGAAATGTTCGCGAAAACTTCGAAAACATCCGCAGTTACATTCGTAGTCTATGCATATCTTGCACAACTGTCTGCTTGGCTGTCTGCATCTGGATGTCTTCTGCATGCAGATGCAGATTACGCATCAGGCTTCCGTTACCATGCAGACTCGGATCTCTGTGACGGTCTATCTTCTGATGGGCGCGACTTTTTGAGCGGTTGAACCTCAGGGTGGCCGGAAAGGCCTAAGCGCTAATAGTAATTGCATAAATGCCCCCATTTTTTCCCCTCCTCTGTTTTGCAAGAACTTGGCCTCCCAGCTGTTGAGGGTCAGGACGCGCCTTAGCGAGCACAGGAATAACGGTCGACGCAGGTTTTTCTTTTTTCTTTTGGGAAATTCGGGCAGGGAACGTTGGCGCGATTGTCGTGTGGGGAATTCCTTTTTGAATTTTCGAAGTCTCTGGAGAAATGTGGGAAACCGCACGGGTATTCAGAATTTCTTTTTGCAATTAGAACTCTAATTAGACTAGGAGTTTGGGAACACTGTATTTGTGTTGGTTATAACTGCACGATGATCCTTACTCGCGCGCGCCTTGCTGCGCTCAGTCTTGCACTATGTTCCTGCTGCGCTTCAATTCTAATTGTAATTGTAATTTCCTCTCTTGGCGAAGCGCGGGTGTAACTGTAATCTTCTCCCACTTCTCTTCGCGCCAAAACATGCAACCCCTTTTCCTTCGTTCCATTGGCCAGAGAGGTGCATGACTGGATCGATGCGTGGAGAGTGGCTACATCCCCTGCGCCGTGACCCAAACATGCAGACCGTAGTAGGCAGCTCCTTCCCTTCTCTCTCCCCCTGCCTTAGCATAATACCGACTATTTCGCGCAGATGCTAATTGATATAAATTTCGCAAGCGCGACAAAAACGCTCTCTAATCAAAACTTGTGGAGTTAGCGCGATCGAGAGGATCGGCTAACAAATGTGAGCATGCATGGAAGGTGAGTTCTGGGCTGGGCGATCCGACGAGCTGGTGGTGAGTGTGTGGGGTTGACGTGTGGCCGCTACGGACTGCGGGACACGGGGGAAGCCGGCGTGCGTACTCGGGCCAGCGGGATGACAGCACAGGGCTGTTGGTAGGTGCGAGGCGACAGACCGCCTGCATCGGAGTAAAAGAAGAAGTGCTGAAGTGGTGAGAGCGCACGGGGCGCTGGAGTATGTGAGGACTTCTCTCCTTACTTTCTAAGAATTTCGGTTCCGGCGTCTGCCATTTTTGCCTTTGTAATTTGTACTAATTTCGGATTTTTCTGTATGATTGTATGACTTCCTCCTTTCTTCGGAGTTCTCTCGTATTTCTTTCCTTTTTCTTTGATACTGATGAGAGTGATGAATGCGGCTTGATCGTCCAATTTTGCATGCATAATCCTTGTTATGTCCACGAATGAATGATTCAGAAATGTGGGTATGTGCTTAGCCTTAGCACGCAGGAATTGAAGGGAAGTAGAGAAGTTGGCCGTCTCGAGTTGCGTTGTGTGCGGATCAAGGGCCACGTGTATACGTTACAGTCGGCCAATAACCGGCCCGTCACGCGTACACGAGGCACCCACACCCGGCCTGTGTTATTGGTATGCATCTGCATGAGTAAGAACAGGATTGCATTATGGCATATGCGTATCATGGCATTCAGTGTCTCTTTTTGAGTAATGGATAGTGACGCAGACGGACCCGCCATAGTAGCTGCCAACCCAGCCGTTCTAAGTACCCGGCCATGGAAGCCGTGAGCTGAGGAGGCCTCCGATCCGTCCGGACCTCTTTGCATTTCAGTCCTTGGAACCATGACACATGAGATCCCAGTTCCGACCTGGGACTCCACCACACTTTCCTAAAATCCTTGGCACACCCCCTTTTGGCGCAACTTCCGGACCCGCCCCACTCTGATCAGCAAGTCGCGCTGGGCGTGAGGTTGGGCGTCACATCGCCAGCTTCTTTTAGTCAACGGGGAGCGTTAGTGGGCCCGTGTGTTTTTGTAGTGGGCCCGTGTGTTTTTGAAGTGTGCCTGGCTTGCCAATGTTCTTTGACTTGCGGGTAGGAAAGGAACCGGAGTGGTGGTCCCAAGAAAATAAAACGGAGCCACTGCAGGACTGCAAGGCCTGTCTTTTTAATTTTTATGTGGCTTGCCTTTTGTATCCGTACCTTGGCTGTCTGCTTCCGCGTGCTTTCCCTTGAGTCCTTGAGTGCTGCCTCCAATTTTCCAGACTCTTTCTTCATAACTGTAACTGTTTTAACCATCATCTCTAGTTGTGAAGTCAATTTCCCAACCTCCTGCTCCAGCTCCTTAACACTGCTCTCAGATTTCTCCCATTTTTTCCACACTCTCTGCATTGCCACCCACAGTAATCACAGCAGCCAAGTGTCAGGCACACTTCAATCATCTTTCTTCCAGTTAGGCGCTTTCTAAGTCAGGCACTCAGGGAATCTATTCTTATTTGTCTATCCGTAATCCATCATTGAGAGAGAGAGAGAGAGAGAGAGAGAGAGAGAGAGAGAGAGAGAGAGAGAGAGAGAGAGAGAGAGAGAGAGAGAGAGAGAGAGAGAGAGAG